GGGGGGTAAATATGCAGGTACCGGAGGCCGAGCAGAAGAAGACAAAAGTGGCATTTTTTTAGAGGCCGGTAGTGTAGGCTAGGTCTAGCGGGTACCAGTCTGAGTCTAGGGCCTGTAGGGGCAATATCAGAGTCTGCAATAATGTTCCCCCCAAAAGGAGGAAGAGGTACCGGTTGCTTGGGAAGGCCAGCGGCCTGGAAGTCACCGCCCAAGAGGCAAAGCAGGCCGCTATATCTTCTGGCCGGGCGGAAGACCCGGCCTCTTTTTCGGTGTGCAAGTTTGGCGACACACTGGTGGAGCGCTGGAGGGAGCAGCGCTGGGTTGGAGCTGCGCTGCTGGGGAGGAAGAAGGAGGACTAGAGGGAGGAAGGAGGAGGAAGGAAGGAGGAAGGGGGAGGAGCGCCAGGGGTACTTACCTGGCTATGGTGGCAGCCATCTTCATCACCTTGGTGGGCGCTGCTGCAAGGAGTCCCCAGCCGGGGGAGCTACACCAAGAAGCTTCAAGGCAAGGCTGGGCATGGCGGCCTGAGCTGGAGCAGCCATAGCTGCTCTGGGTTGTYCTTTGGACGTCGGWGCAAGGCCTAGTAGTCCGCCATAGCCTCGGCCTATGTGTGTGAAGAGTGGGGGAGGCAGCCATGGCTATGGTGGGCCTTGAGTGATACCTGCAGTAGCATGACGGATGGAAATTTGTCCAATTAGTCCAGCGACGAACAGTTGCCAGAATCTTCCCTCCCCCTGTATGGCTCTTGAGTAGTCACTTATGTCTACGCCCTGCGCATCTGGTTAAGCAGCGTGTCTAAAGGTGTGCAATCCGGCCCACCCCTGTGCCCCAAGTCTATACTAAGCCTGCCAGCCCTGCATCTTGTTTATCCTCGCATGCAGCTAGTCTTACTTCCGGTTGATCTGGCTGATCAAGAGGCAGTTTAAGGACAGCCCCCACAGTCCTTAAGAATTATTTTGATTCGCAATCAGGACGATGATCACAGCCAGGGTCCAACAGGAACCCGCCAGAAATATTTATAGATGGTCTGGTGAGCGTCTCTTATAGGGCTGGCATGCCCATCATGACCTCTAACAGTGCAGCGAGCAGAACCAAGGACTTGCGGCAAAGCATGCGTGTACTAGTCCCGGCGGCTTGGCATGGTGACCGTGACCTGAGTGCTTTGTCCAGGGCCCTTCAGAGCATGGTAACCCCGGACCCGGACACCGGACACTTCCGGACTGTCTTCCGGACCAATGTCTGGACTGGTCCGGACTGTCCGGTGATCCAGACATTATCGGACACACGGGGGTGGGGGTGTGGGCAGGGGTGTTGCCAGGCACTTACCGGCTCTGCGCTTTGTAGTTCAGGGAGCAGAGCACGTGTCTTGCTGCAAATCAACGAGCACATTTAACTAGCAGACATGCAGAGTTGCAAACAGTTCAAAGCAGGCACAAGAGTAAAGAAACAGAGATTTTGTTTTGAAAAAAGTATGATTAACTTTGAACTTTGACCTTTGGATTTAGTAATTTAGGTTCATAACTTCATACACAACTTAAAAGTTCAAACTTTGCAGTTCAATTCAGAACGTCAGAGTCTTCTGACTGTCAGCACTGTCAGCACTGTCAGTGCTCTCTCTCTCTCTCTCTCTCTCTCTCTCTCTCTCTCTCC